CAGAAAGATTAATGAATAATCATTTATCAAGCCTGTCTTCCTATAAACACCCTGGGAATAAGCACCATTGACTACAAGGGAGTTATGCTTGCATAAACATGGATAGCATTGTATTTTAGAAGTGTTACATCACAGGATTGCAGACCTCCATCCCATAACATATGGTGAAGCTCTAATTATATATTTTTGATATATTTCTATAGTACTATAATTTTTCAAACCTTAACCTATTGCCAAGTTAAAAGTTTCTTTCGTTCTTTCTTCTTTCGTATGCTACCCATTTTGCCAGGCTATTTTAGGTAGTTCACAACACAATCAAACAAAAAACATAATTATAAGTATAAAATAAATTAAACATATAAAGCATCATAAAATATAATGACAATTAAAAAATCACACAATAAAATATTAGATATTTAAATATTTCAAATGGTGCAGAGGGCAGAAAAATCTTTTCATCAAAGACAAACATGTTTAGGCTTCTTTTGTTAATTTCCCTACTTACCATAAAAAGATATTACAGGGCCATCTTTTGGATTAAAAATAGAACTATGTGGAAAATGCCTTAAGATTACTTCCACCTCCCACTCTGTCAATCAGAAAGTAATTTGTAAGGCTGGCCAGAAAAAATCAAGTGTGTACCATAATACAATCTTACCAAAATCATTTACTGGGTACTTTTGCATGCAATGCCATCCACCAATTGTGATTAGCTTTTGATCCCTTTTTAATTCTGGTTTTATGAGTCAAGTCTCTCTGTGTGTCTCTCTCTCACACACATACACAAACGCTTTGGAAGGTTCATTTTTCATGGTTTTACAAAAGAGTCAGTTTCTCACACATACAACCTCCCTCCCTCCCTAAACTTTTAGCAATCTTTTGCATCAGTTCAGTATGTCCCTGTTTCCTCTCATTACATTTAAATAAGCTGATGAATCCAGCCGTCCCTCTCTCACACCTTCCTTCCCACCTTAATTAGAGCCTTCCGTCCTGCTTGCGTCAGTTCCATTTTTCATAGTTTTGAGTCAGTCTCTCTCATACACATACACACACCTTCCCTCCCTCCCTAAATTTACTACAATATTACATTTACACAAGCTTGATGAATCCACCCGTCCCTCTCTTGCACCTTCCTTTCTGCCTTAATTGGAGCTTTCCCTCCTGTTTGCAGTCACCTCTGGTGGAAGTAGTAATTCACAAGCTGGATTGACTGCCCTGGGCTGTAGCGCTCCGCTCGCATGCCCAGGGAGAGGTCTCCGCATGTCAGCTGTGGCAAGCGTGCCATAGGTTCACCATCACTATTTTACAGTTTGCCTTATGTGTGTGTTGTATGAATGGTGACACGTGTGGTATGAGCCAGGGTTGGCTGGCCTTTGGACATCTGAGTTGTCCATTCAGGTGGGCTTTCTCCACGTGGCCCAGTCATGAAACTCTGTGTGTGGATTGAGCAAGATTGGCACATAAGGTCTGTGTTAACAGCGCAGGTCGGTTAGGTTTTCTAAAACAGGTTCGGCCAAAGAACTCTGTGTAGTAGATATCACCCCTTTGGTTTCATGGTTCCGCCTGATTTCAATATAATCCACTTTTTAAAAAGCAGTCTTGGGCAAATGTTGGTCTTCCTGATGTTGACAAATTGCTCTGTTCATCACTCTTCCCCATTGGTGAGGCTGGCTAAGAATTACAGGAACTGAAGTTCCCACTTCTGCCTTCTAAGGATAGAGCTGGAAGATGCTGGTTAGTTTTTCCTGAGAAGGTGGCCCTCTTGAGAACTCAAGGCAGCATTCTTTCTTGAACGCCTGGGGTGCTCTCATCTCTGCTTCCTACAGTACCAACAAATATGACATATGGGAAAAGACAGGGTTGGGCCTCCCTCCTTCCTGTCAGATACCCAAGAAAAAAGAATTGAAGTGGAATCTCTCTTCTCATTTCCCAGCCTCGTAAGACCATGATGGCTCTGGAGAATCTCTCCTCCAAGACTAACTTCCTCTGATTCCTTCGGACAGGCTTGGTCGAGTTGATGGAAGGCAATGTAATGTCCAGGGTTCTGGTCGTGGCTTGTTTATGTGGCTCAATTCCTTTTTTCTGTCCCCCAGGCAATCTTCTAAAAACTTCTGTCAGAATTTTAGATACCACTGGCATGTAAAGGTTAGGACCAAACACCACCACCACCACCACCCCGAAACGTGTGGGTGTTGCAGACCTTCTAAGAAATGCCTTGGAGTTCCTTAGCCCTCCCTCCCTCCCTCCCTCCCATCTGGAAGGGGACAAATGCTTTCTCCTGGGTGAACCAGGGGTGCAGGGACTATTCTCAGTGTCCCGCTTGGCTTTCTTTCTCTTTGCTGTTGGGCCAGTCCTTGGCTGCGCTTCTGATCCTTACGGTCTGAACAGGGGACTAAAGGGGCTGCCACCCTCTCGGTTTACTTTCTGGATGCCCAGAGCCTGGCTTCTCCTCCAGCTGAGGTCCCAGCTGTTTTCTTTGGGGAGCGTGCTTTCTTCAGTGCATTCTAATTATAGTGTCCAGAGGATAGCGAGATCCAAACGGTCGTTTCCTCTCTTTTTGCTTTCTGTGTTTTTTTTAAAGACATAAGTATTCTCTTTATTAATGGGTTTCATAAAAATATGGGTTTAAGAGCTGCTTCTTCCCCCAAATATTTGTTGTTGTTTTTTAATCCGTGGTATTATCTGGAAGGATGTTAGGCACCAATTACATTTATTAATACCATATTTCCCTTGTTGAGTCTCCTACAGGGTGGGCAGGAAAGGAGTGCGAGGAGGGAGGTCAATCCAGTCATCCTCTGGACCTCCAAAGCACCTGCTGGGTTCCCAAAAAGAGGAGAACAGATAGTGGATGTGTTTGTCTTTCGAGTTACCAACTCTTGATTCCCATTCCATTTGTGTCCTGGGACAAGTGATTCAGAACCTTCTCAAGCGGTGGTGATTGTCTCTCTGGGAGAGGCCTCATAGTATTCACAGAATTTCTAGAACTTCATCAGAGTATACAACAAACTTACACAAGCCAGAAGAAAGTGGGTGAGGGTCCCCATCCTGAGGACATTCTGTTCGGATTCTGAATGGGTGGGTGGGGGAGGGAAAATCCAAGGTGTGGATGGGTTACGAATATAATAATGCCTTTGATTGCAGACGAAAGGTTGCCATTTACGATGGGGTTGCCATTGTTTTCCTCTGTGTTGAAAAGCGTGTTTGTTAAACAGAGCTCATTATTTTATCACCGTGCCACAGGTTGTCATTTCTGAGTAAGAGAGAAAGGAAAGGTGATAGAGAAGTCTGGTGTTGCATATTCACCACAGAACTTTATGAGGCGTGGAGTTACAGGAAAGAATGTCAAGATCCTCACAAAGGGTTCCCTTCTCCCTTGCAGGGGCGCCTGAAGCTGCTGACCTTGCTTAAAAAAGAAAAGGAAGAATCCACAGAGAGCCAGATCCTTGAACAGTGCCACCTCTCTTTCCATGCCATCCTGCTTCTCTGCTGACAGCAAAGTTGGTATTTGGGTTTGTGCCACCGTAGTGAACCCTGAGACCGGAAGTTGAAACCATGTGAGGGGTTTCTCCCCGCTTCTGTGCTTCCCCTAAACCCACTGTGGGCACGTTGCTGCTAAGCCTGAGGTGCCGGCCACCATGATGTTCCGGGACCAGGTGGGCATCCTCGCTGGTTGGTTCAAAGGCTGGAATGAATGCGAGCAGACCGTGGCTCTGCTGTCCCTGCTCAAGCGTATCTCTCGCACCCAAGCCCGCTTTCTGCAGCTGTGCCTGGAGCACTCCCTGGCAGATTGCACAGAGATCCACGTTCTGGAGTCGGAGGCCAACAGCGCAGGTAAGTCAGCAATTAATATCCTGGGGCTCAAAGCCTGGTGCCTGGGAGGCAGAGCGCAGGCTGCTTGTTCCCATGGCGATACATGTGGGGCATGCATCCCAAATTCTGCTTGCCATACTTTCCCTCACTCTCTCATCAGGGACAAGGGGAGCCCCTGCATTCCTCTAAAGCAATAGGAAACAGTTGTGGCCTTCCAGATGTTTTGAAATGCAACTACGACAAGGACAGTCCCTCATCATTAGCTGTGGTGGCTGGAGAGGAAGGATCATGCCCCACAGTGACCTCTGGAGGACCATAGCTGTCTGTCCCTGCTATGTAGCTTGCAGCTAGGCTTGTGCTGAGGATCGTGGCCACAACAGTGCTGTGCTTTGAAGTGTATTGAAACTGCAGGGGTGATCCTTGTCGCGCGCACGCCCACGCCAAGTTAGAAGAAAAGCAGAGGTTGCTGTTATGTCGGTGGGCTGCCCAGTTGCTCCAGGCTCATCAGCAGGAATCCTGCAATGCAGCGGTTCCTGTCCCCTCATCATCTTCTACATGCGGGACAAGCGGAGGGACAGGAAACTCCCTCCTTCCAGGCTCCATACTGGAGTCTGCGTATTCATGGCACAGGATCAGTGACAAAGGGGAGTAGCAGGATCCAGGCAAACACAAAAGCCGGTCTCAAAGAGTGTGCAAGTAGAAGGCTGCAGGTGGCTTTCTTCTCCTCATTGACTTGTGCTGGCTTCCTGTGATAGCATAGCTTGTGTCTAGGTGGCGTTGACCAACTTGGAGATCCTCCGGATGTGGCAGTCCACCGAGGACACACGGGCCCTATTGGGTTTTGGAAGCTAAGCTGTGTCAGGCCTGCTTATTGCTTAGAGGAGAGACCGCCAGGGAATAAATACTAGATGCTGGATTTAGGAGGTCAGTGGTGGAACATGGCCCCAGGGTGCCCAGGTTGGGCTAGGAAAGAATCCTGAGTGAAGCAAGAGAGAGAGCCACAATGGCCAAGCAGAGTTGATAGGGTTAGGAAAGAGATGGACCAAGGGTCTCTCGGTATCAGTCGGTCTCCTGCACGGTCCATAAACAAAAGCATGCGAATCTGACATTGCTGTTGCCTGTAATGGTAGTCTCTGCCATCCCCTTAACATAGAGATTTAGTTCCTCAAAGGATAATGCCCCATTTTAGGCTCTCTTTGTGTGTTTAAGGGCAGTTATGTAATGAAAGCATAAAAAGAACCTTCCAGGATCTTCCAAGCAAATGGCCATCTTGGAGCAATGAGTCACGCAGATTAATTGCGCTCTCTGTGAAGTTCCTCTGCCTGGTCTTAGCCCACTGCCATTCAGCTGCTTTATTAGCTGATCTTTGAAGTTCATCAGTTGCAGAAAGAAGAGGTAGACCATTTCAGCTTGTAGAACAAAAGCAAAAATCTCACCACCCCTTTAAGAGGAAGAGAACACTTTGGTGTGAGATTTTGTGGATTACAAGCCAGTTCCTCAAGGATGAGAGTATTCTTTGCTCCCTCCTTCCATTCCATTAATGGTTTCCTAAGCCTCTGCAGAATTCCCACATCTCGCACTCCATTGACTCACTGTAACAGAATATCAGGCTTCTTCCATCAAGCATGCTTTTGGCTGCAGCTCATCCCAATTCCTCAAGGAGACCTTTCTGACATGCACGTTTGCCAGCATCCACATCGGTGAGAAATATTTTGCATTTGTCAGAAGGTTTGCACAGCGTTTCCAGAGAAGCATCCCTCAGCCCCCCCCCTCTGATTAGAGCTACTAGAGAAGAGTAGCGGTTCTCAGACAGAGATCTGGCAACTTCCAAGCGGTGTGCCTGCCTTGCATCCCCTTTGCAGGTGATTAGTGTGTGGCATCTGGTCTCTCCCCAGAGGCAGCTAATGAAGATCAAGTGTCCTCAGAAGCTCAGTCGGAGCTCACCCATCTGTGTGTGTGTGTGTGTGTGTGTGTGCGCGCGCGCGCTCTGCACCTTTCACTTCACTCCCATTTCCCAGGCAGACCCTTAGTGAAGCCGCCACCCTTGGAGCACATGAGACCATGTCTCTGTTCTTCAGGTCTGGGAGTAAAGCGGTCTGTCTGTGGAGCCTCCAACAGGAGCGTAGTCCCAGAGGAAAGGGAAGGCAGCCGTAGATTTTCAGAAGCAGAAAATCTGCTGTAGACTTTCAGAAGCAGCTCTCTTGATGGCAACAGAGTGTTATGGAGCTTTAAACACCCTAAAGCAGCTTTTAGTTACAGCCTTAAATGCCATGTGTTTTGCTGGCCTGTTTACTTAAAGAAAGAAGAGGAAGAAATGCTGAGGTAAATCTAGCTTATGTATTCATGACCACGCTATTCTATACTGTAGGAGGCTTCCAAACTTCTCTCTGAAGTTTAATATGATTTTTCACAATTTCAAGAATAATATAAAAATGAAGTTAATAAAAGTCCAAATGGAATAATAAAGTAAGACGTCTGGTAAGAGTATTCAGTCCTTAAAAAAACCCAAGTGTGTGCTTAGAAGTGGACCAGGCACACTTCTCTGGAGTAGTGATTTGATAATGTGGGGGGCACCCCTGTCTAAGAGACACTTGCTCTCATGCCCGAAAGGTAGTTTATTTTGCTCTGCCCTCCTCCCAAGCCGGAACACAGTTCTGTGGATGTGCGGCTTAGTCCCACAGTCCTGCTGCTGACTCTAGAACGGTGGTTGATCTTCTCTGCGCTTGGATCTGGTGCGTCGTAGCAGTGTGAGGTCTGCCTCCTCCCCAACAATCCCTAGTCAGAACGTTTATGTGGCCAGGACCACAAGTGCTAACTTTTACTAAGACTGGAGTTGCCGGGTGGTGGAAGGAGAACCACCAGGAGAGACTGGATCCTGTTTCTCAGGAAGGCTCCTCTGAACTGGGCCAGGTGATGCCGAGGGGCAGCGTGGGCTTGGCCAGGGGCCAGACTTCGTGGACAGCTCCTCAGGCCGCCTGGGACTCGGTTTCAGAACGTCCAGAGGTCACGGGCCGAAAGCTCCCCTGAAGCCTGGACGGTGCTGCTGCTTCAGGGTGCTTCTGTGAGGAACGTGAGGGCCAGACGAGGCCACCCCCAGGGCGGGAGCTTTGGACCCCCTGAGATGGTGGGTTGGTTGGCTTGACAGAGAGCAGGAGTTTTCTTGTTACTCTGCAGAATGCCACGTGTGTAGTTACAGTCACCGGCATTTTGTGGCTGGCATCTGCTCTGGCACACCAAAGGCAGATGTTTGTTTTTAAGGTGACTTTTTGCTCATCATACTAAACAGCTGCCCTTGTGGAAGTGTTGACATGGGTGCTGTTGGCACCATGTGAGAACTCCCCCACCCCCTCCGCCGTCACAAGAGAAAAGGGTTGTTAGAGACCGGCTTTGGTGCGGAGAGGCTTCCCAGAGCAGGTGGGAGCGTTGGCTGAGCCTCCCCGTGTCTTAGGTGCTTGTCTGACCTCCTCCCTCCCTCCTTCTGCTCTTCTCCCTTACCAGCCGTCCTCAGTCAGTGGCATCAAGAGCCCAAGGATAAAGTGGTCTCGCTGCTCTTGTCCCACCTGCCTCTCCTCCAGCCCGGCAACACGGACGCCAAGTCTGCGTACATGAAGCTCTTGCAGAAGGTGCTGGCCTACTCCATCGAGAACAACCTCTTCATCGAGGAGAGCAGGCAGCTCCTCTCCTATGCCCTCATCCACCCGGCCACCACTCTGGACGACCGCAACTCTTTGGCCCTGTGGCTCAGCCACCTCGAGGAGCATCTCTCCAGCAACTACTCCAGCCAAGGACGGAGCCGGCCCGACGCGGCCTACCACTCGCGCCAGGGCTCCGATGAGTGGCAGGGGCCGGCGGACACAGGCCTCGGAGGCCTGGGGCACGGCTGGCAGGAGAAGCCGCCTCGGGAAAACGGCCACATGTCATTCCACTCTTCTGGTTCGGTGCCGTCGGCCATCAACAGCACAGGGAGCAGCGCAAGCGCAGGTGCGGAACACCCTTCCTTGTGTGGGGCCACCACCACCGCCCTCCCCAGTTGCCCCTTCTGCATCTTCATGATGCAGCATTCCTTGAGAGTTGCCTAAAATATTTCCAGATTTGGAGGAAAACGGCTTAGAAATTAGCTGAGGTATGGGACAGAAGCTCAGGACGGTTTTCCCGTCTCTGTGAAATCCTGGGTCTTGTTCTCTCATCCTTGTGCCAAAGTTAAGGAGACCCTTGGCTTCCCTGGGCTCTGGATGTTTGGGGGGGGGGAGCCATAGTCATGTTTTCTAGTACCAGCTTTGCCCGGGGCTGATAAAACATAGGAACTAGGTATCCTTGTTGAGTAAGCAACCAGTTGGGGTGGAACTGCTCCAGCTCTGTCTGGAGAGACGCTTCGTGGGCTTCTGCCCAAGTTTCCCATTCATTGGTGTCCCCCCGCCCCGCCCCGGATGTACCTGCTTGCTTGTCTTTGTAGTGTCATGCTTGTAATTCCAGAATTGTTTTCCTTTAGTTAGTATATACTGCTGATGTAGTATTGGACACCACTCTAAGAAGTTTACAAAAATAAAATCAGACAATAACCCGAACCACCCAACAAACCAATAAGACAACCACATAAAATAAATCCCCAGATGATGGTAGACTCCAGGAAATGCATACAGTATGGAGAGAGAATTAAGCGAGGATGCCCTTAAATGCTTTGTGAAAGAATAATGTCTTAAGTATCCCCTGAAAGGTGGACTTCCAACGAGAGCCATTGCCTGAGTCATTTCTTCTACTTACACCTCACTTGACAAGGAAAATCTGCCCCAAGGATGATTTTTGTCTCCTGGTTTCAGCTCTAGCCTGCCAAATCCACCCCAGCCCGCTGAAGCGCTCGATGTCCCACACCCCAACCAGCCAGCAGGTCCCGAGCAAATGGATGAGTGTGGATGAGATGGCTGCTCGGACAGCCTTCATCTCTGGCGGAGAGCACGCCCCCCTTTCGCCCCAGAGTAGCGTGGCCTCGTCCGGCAGTGAGCAGATGGAAGAGCAGCCGGGCAGTCGGAACACTTTCCAGGAGGATGGCAGCGGCATGAAAGGTACCCCCAAGTACTAAGCAGGGGTGGCTGAACCCAAGAGTGGCTCCTGGGGTGGCGCGCGGGTGGTTGGGTGGGTGTAGCTGTTTTCCCTATCGTAGCTGGCCTGGGCCACGGCTGTTAATTTCCAAACAGTGAGAAACTGAGTCCTATCTTCATTTCAGTAATAGGATTCAGTGAAGGTTCTTCTCCACTTGGATGTTGTCCATGTGAGGCTGCTTTTGCCTTGTGGGGCATCCAGACAGGATGCAGGACCTGAGGGCTGGTATAAAATTAGGAAGTGGATAAAAAGGCAGACGGGCAAGTCCGTGGCAACCTCCAGCAGGAGATCTCCCACAGGCCTCCATCTTGCAGCTTTTGATCCCTCTCCTCAGTTGGCTTCAGCAATACTGAGCAAAATTTTCTGACTGACACACGATTTAATCCCCTGATTGTATGTAGCGGAATCTCCCAGGCAGCTTGCTTAAGTCATTCTGTGGGCAATTGACTGGCCGACCTGTCTGTTGTGAAAAGGTTGACTTTCCCCCTCCCCAGATGTTCCGTCGTGGCTGAAGAGTCTTCGGCTGCACAAATACGCAGCTCTGTTCTCCCAAATGACTTACGAAGAGATGATGACACTCACAGAACAGCATCTGGAATCGCAGGTACTGTACAAGAGGCTTTAGACGGGGTTCTTCCTGCAAGTTGGGGCTGCAGTTTAAACAGCTGCTGTTTAGGGGATTTGAGGGGAGGGTGCGGCCCTGGTGGAGTAAAGGCGGCAGGCCCTGATGGTTCTAAAGCCTCAAGCGAAAGGCTCTGCAGCTTCCTGAGCAACTGGTGTGTGATGTCTGTCTTTCTAGCCTAGAGGAGTGGGAAATCACCTGCCCCCCCATCCCCAGAAGGGGAGCTATGAGGCGCCTTCTGTCTTTCTGGGGCAGGGCCATGGCTCTGCCTGTGCTTCTGTTTGCTGGTGGAGAAGGCACGGTGGCTTTCTTAGAGCAGGAGCTCTCTGTGCTGGGTCGCGCCTGCACCGGCCGCTTGGTTCCTCATCTGTGTCTCTCCCTCTCCCGTGAACAGAACGTGACCAAAGGCGCCAGGCACAAAATTGCCTTAAGTATCCAGAAGCTGCGAGAGAGGCAGAGTGTCCTGAAATCCCTGGAGAAGGTAAGGGGGACCCTGTCAGCCCTGAGCGAGTCTCGGAATCTGTCTTTGGAACGTGGGTCTGTGGTGCGAAATGGGTGGAGGCGTAACTGACTTCACCAGAACCCCAGCAGACACGGGCTGGAGGTCACCCATTCAAAATGTGTTTCCAAATAGAAACATAACTTCCCCACCAGCCAGTTTTTCTTCTGGCATGGTTGCAGACAGCTTGACTCCGTTCCCATCTGCAAGGATCCCCCTACCCTAAGTATCCCAGGTAAAGTATCCAGGGTTGCATTTCCATGAGGGCAGAGCTGCTCAGTGAGTCAGTATCTAGGGGATCCTCCCTGGTGGAACCGGGGAGAGGTTCCGTAGCTTCCAGCAGGTCAGCGGCTGAGCTGGAAGGCAGGGTTCCAGGTGAAGGTCGGCGACCCCTACGGTCCCCACCTTCAAGCGCTTTTTCTCCTCCTCTCCTTTTGGCAGGACATTCTGGAAGGCGGGAACTTGTGGAATGCCCTCCAGGAACTGCAGCAGATCATCCTCACCCCCATCAAAGCCTTCCATGCCCTGCAGGCCACAGCAGCCTCCGCCTCGAAGGAGAGCCAGCAGCTGGCCTCTGAGCAGCCACAGCCGCACGGAGCTCCCCCTCTGAGCTTGGAGAAAAGCAGCAGCAGCAGTTCCGAGGACAAAGAGCCCACCCCAGACTCTTTCCCACCCCCGACAGGCTCCCCTTGTGACGGGGAGTCTGGAGCAGCGCCCGTTGCCGAAGGAGACATCGCAGGGCAGTTCACCCGGGTGATGGGCAAAGGTGAGGGCACTGGGTCAGGAGGGCACTTAGAGCCCTGCGAACTGCAGCCCAAGGACCCCACCCCTCTCTCAATAGGGCACCTTTCTGATCTTTTAAGTGGGTGGTCATGCTGGCAAGCTAGAGCCTTATTTATTGTTGGTGTATTCTTAATACCAGCAAAATCAGGGAGCTGGACAGGGGACAGATGATATTTGTCTTCAGTGTGGAAGGGATTGTGTCACTCTCCAGTTGGCCTTCTCAGCCACACTAGACGCTGTTCCAAGACACCTAGTCAGAGCACGTTATCCTAATCTCTCGAGACTGAAGGATGCCTACAGAGATTCTTAATGCCACCTTTTGGACTCCTGCTGAGATGCAGCCCTTTATTTATGTAAAATAGCTTTAGCACTATATTAATAAAGGTTTTGTAATGCCTGGGAAGACGTAGACGGTGCTGTGAAGAAGAGCCTCATGGAGGAAGTGAAGAAGGGAGGAGGGCCAGATGTTTCTTTGCCGGTCCCTAGACCAGGGTTTGGAAGATGGGATTGTATGCCTGCCCACGTTGGGCCATAAAGCACCAGAGGAGGTGGAGCGGAGGGAGTCTTCATGAAAGGAAGAAGGAGCGAAGGAGATTAATCAGATGGGTAGAGCTGTGAGGAAGAAGTAACGTCTTGGCTGGATCTGTTTGAGGGAGATAACTTGCCAATGGACGGTTCAGGATCTGCCGTGCCTCTGTGTCTGTAAACGCCAATATTTAGGACCACTGAGAAAAGATGTGCATCAATTAGAAGGGTTCCTCATAAGCCACCCCTTGTCTTGTGGTTTACAAGCTAAATGACATTGCACACAAGGAAAGGGGGACAGGGAGGGAAAAGGAAGAAGCATCCACTGAAGCTCTAGTTCTTAGTTCCAGAGCCCTCACAGTGATTGACGAGCATAAATACCACTCCAGGAGAACACGAGCCAAGCGTTGCTGGTCCGTCACCATCCCTGATGGATGCCCCCGCCTGAAGGAGCACCTGCTGCTGCCAGGTGTCCCAAGGAAGCATAGGGTGAATTCCTCTGTTGAACTGCTTGCCCTGCCTGAAAGCTTAAGGGGAACCCATTGTGGTAAAGAAGCCTCCCATATAATATTCAGGAACAAACGGTTCTTGAGCTTCATAGCTTTTCAAACAAACTACCACCACCACCCCACATACACACCCTCTGGCAGAGGGCAAGGAGCTTGCTTTGACATTTTAAAAGGCTGAGAAGTACTTTATGTTTAGGAGGTTCTTCCTCCCACTTCATAATAAAGTGCAGCTTTGGAAATAAATCCTCAGAAGTTAGTAGCCCACACATTCCTACGTGGCCTAAAAGAAGAACTGGAGCCGTCTCCTCCTCAGAAGCTTAGCCATCTGGACACAGTGGCTGCACAATGGAGGTAACATAGGTAGCCACCCTTGTGATGGCTGGTGCAACGTGCAGGGCTTCCACCACTCCTCCTTTCTCCCTGGGAGCCGAGGGTGCTCTGTCATTCATTCCCAGGGGCTCAGATTATTTGTCCACACAGTCTAGGATTTTCCCCTCCCAATTGGCTTTAGGCAAGAAAGTGTCTGCCACCTGATTTTCTTAAACCGGAGATGCCTGTGATTGAATGGGGGGACCTCACTGGTAAAGGGCATGCTGTCTTGCTCGGGAGACCCTTATTGCTCCACTTGCATCACCTTTCCCTCCTGCTTTTCCTTGCAGTGTGCACGCAGTTGCTGGTGTCTCGCCCAGATGAGGAGAACATCACCAGCTACCTGCAACTGATCGAGAAGTGCCTGATGCACGAGGTAGGTGGGACTCTGTTCAGGGTGCCGGAGGGCTCGTGCTGCGAGGGTGTCCCCTCTGCCCAGGCACCCACCTGGCTGAGTTCCTGCCCCCTTTTTTTCCAGGCCTTCACAGAGACCCAAAAGAAAAGGCTTTTGTCTTGGAAGCAGCAGGTGCTGAAGTTGCTGCGGACATTTCCTAGGAAAGCGGTGCTGGACATGCAAGGCTACCGCCCACAGAAAGGGTGAGCACAGGCCAAATGAGTTCTAACAGGGGGAAATGTAAAGTGCTGCATTTAAGGAGGAAAAACCAGATGTGCAGATACAGGATAATGTCAGCTGGCTTGGCCCGTTGTTGGTGTGAAAAGACTAGAGCCTTGAGTGGCAAGAAGCTACTCGTGAGCCACTGGAATGGTGCAGCAGCCAAGAAAGGAGCGGCATTCCAGGCTGCCTCAGCAGAAGCCCGGGGCCCAGATCAAGGGCAGGAAGAGTCCCTCTCTGTTCTGTTTTGGTCAGACCTCACCTGGAATAGTGTGTCCACTTCCAAGCACCACGGTTTCAGAAGGATCTTGGCAGATTGGCAACTGTCCTGAGGAAGGGCCTGGAAGCCAAGCCCCTGTGAAAAATGTTTGATGAGAGAGTTGGGAATGTTTATCCTGGAATAAAGAACTGGTGGTCAACAGCTTTTTTTAGAAAAGCAGGTGACTCTCAAATTATGCAAGACGGAAGAAATTTTGTGAGGTCTGGCTTTGGGCTCTAGCCTAGCTTTTCCCTCTCAAGGAAGGCTGCTTCTCCATCTTGGCCAGCTGCCTGCCCTTGATGTCCACAAAACAACCATTTTTGTGGAGGAAGTGGGGCAGCAGCAACAGCAGGAGCAAGGGGTGAGGTGGGGGAACCTCAGGTGGGTCAGACGCTTTTAAGAAGCCGCTCAGTGACCAGATCTCCCTGAAGCACCCCTTGAGTCTCTTCTGGTGACTCTGCCCAGGATGGTGGCCGCTCCTCAGCCCACCCCCTGCGTCAGAGTCTCGGGAGAAGGTTGGGCTTTCGGGTAGCCTCTTCCCCTTCCCAAACAGGTTGGATCGGCTGTGTGGCCCGCCGAAGTCGGGAGGAGGAATAGGGTGAGGCGTCTGGTGGGCTGACCTCAGCAGGCCAGGCTGGGAATGGTTCTTCCAAACACAGGGCCCCCCGATGGGACCATGTGAATGCAGTTTTGGAGCTGGAACAGGTGTCGCCAGAACAGGCGCACGCCACGCCGGGTTCTCAAGGCCTGCTTGAGTACCACTGCTTGCTTTCTGCCCAGCCACAAGCCTGTGGCACAGATTTGGATCATGAGATTGCTGTTTCACCCCACAGTGTTTGCCAATGGGACTCACCCTCCCCTCCTCCATTCACTTCTTCCAGATGGGCCTTTGGTTCCAACTCTCTCCCCATAGCTGGATCTGTGGGGGTGGGGGTGGCTCGCAGAGGACAGCGACAGTTCCAGATGCCCCCCCGCGCCATTCCCCCAAGCCGCCTGGGGATCCTGAGCCCTGCAGGAATTGGTGGCGTTTCCCCTCGGCACGCACTTGCCAGCCCAAACCTGGGCAGCCAAGGACGGCAGGTAAGGAGACGCATGCCGGGAAGACTGGGCAGCCTAGCGCTGCAGAACTAGCTCTGGACCCGTCTTAGAAATCAATCGCCATCACTCCCTTCAAAGCGTTAGTCATATGTCAGTCATGTTTAGTATGTAAAAACAAATAGTGCTTTCGTCACTGGCTTTTCTGCACAAAGATGCCCTGAAAGTAAGCAGTACAAAACATTAGCAAAGGAAATTTTAAAAAACTGAAACAGAGATATTGTAAAAATGCTCAGAATTTCTTGGCAGGACATTCTGTGTTTCCAGAGCAGTTTGGGGTGGGTTCCTGAAGCCAGAAAGTTTGAAAACTGCTCCTGGAGGAGAGGCTCAGTTAGGGCAGAGCATGGGAACGGAGGCAAAGGAGGCATTTTCAGGTTCTTGGAGAGGGTGGGAGAAGCTGAACTGCAGTGAGCCTCTTGGAGGCCTGGGGCTTTCTCTGCTGCAGAAGCCAGTCGCTGGAGGAAGAGGCTGCCGATGGCTCTGATACAGCGAAGCCGGGTGGGAGGGATGCCTTGGCTTCTGCCAGCACCCTGTCCTGGGTGAAGAAAGCCCAGCCACTCCAAAGTGGCCCTGGAGGTATCCCGTCGGGTGGGTGTCCACTGTGCTGGCAACGCTGAGCAGGGAGGTCTTCCACAGCAGAGAGTTGGAGGTTCCGGGCAGCCCCCAGAATTCATGGCTGTGTCCTGGCAACTGCAGCATTCAGTTCTGTTCCAGGCACACAGGCAGCCTGTCTGCCGCTCAAGCCTTTTCTTCCACTCTGTTGCTGTCCCAGGTAGAAACCACCTGCCTGTCCCCAGGAAACTTTGGGGGGTGGCTTTCTTCCCTGCTAACGTCCTGGTTTAAATCTGTTTCTCTTCTTCCCCAAAGAATCTGTGGTTTGCCAATCCTGGAGGCAGCAACAGCATGCCTGGCCAGAGCCGCAGCTCGGTCCAGCGGACTCACTCGCTGCCCGTCCACACGTCTCCTCAGGCCATCCTCATGTTCCCCCAGGGTGAGTGAACTGAGTAACCACCAACAGCCTCTTTCCTCTCCTCTCCTGCTCCAGACTCAGATCAATGTGTCGAACGACATACAACTCCCAGAAGAATCTCTGCAGGGGACGGTGCAGAGAGTCTTATGACTCTCGGGAGTAGAGATGGGCACAGATTGATTTGTGCCACTTTATACGAATTTCCTCGCCTCCCCCAGCAGCCACCCACTCAACAGCTGTGCAGGGAGAATCCCCATCCCACCTCCTCTTCTGAGTGGTCAGCTGCCAGAGGAGGCAAGGAGGGACAGCCTGAGCTCCTGTCCAAACTGGGCAGCCAACAAAGGAGGGCAATCTGGGCAATGCACAGAGGCTTGTGACTGAGGCAACCGGGTGGGGTTTGGGGAGGGAACACACAGTACAAGAGGTGCCGCATGGAGAACTTAGTACAAAGCAGCACAAATTAATTTGTGCCCATCTCTATTCAGGAGTGTCAGGCACAGCTGAGGCACAGGGTCTCATGACAACAGATCCTTGCTTGTCGCACACTTAGGAAGCCGCAAAGGAGCTGCAGAACAGTACTCGTGGCTATTTCTGCTGGATTCCACAAACAATGTTTGCATTTTTGAGAATAATCATCATGGAGATTGCGTAATAAAATTTGTCAAATGGATTTTTTTAATTAGGGGCAATAGTTTAAAAGAGTCAATGGATGGGTTGCTTTCATCTTTCTTGATCAGTTCTTCTGTGCTTGATATCCACGTGTGGTTTGCTTTGCCAAGCGAAACTACACTGGAGACATTTTGCTCCAGCTGTGGAAATGGCAACAGGAGCATCTCTCATATCTGTGATGAAGTGGAGAAAATCCTCAGCAGGTCTCTCTTACGGGCAGCACAGCACGCTCAGGTTCCTCTCCCACTGTGGCACTTTGAGCGGAGCTCTGCCTGATCATTTTGCTTAGTCTTTTGCCTGGGAAAGGCTGCCTCTCTGTGCCCTCCTCTCACTTCTCGTCCTCCTTATCCACCCCAGATTGCCAGCTGCCTGGGACAGACCTTGAGATCAACCCCACGCTGGAGTCCCTGTGCCTCAGCATGACAGAGCATGCGCTGGGTGGTGAGCTTTTTTGGTTGACTTAACTCCTGAGAGAGGGAAGGGACGGGCTTCCAGAGGAAGGCTCCGCAGAATTTTTCTCCTATAAATAGGCTTGTTTCCCTCATTTCCTTGTGCAGCCCAGAATGCTTTAGGGCAAGAATCAGGAACCACAATAAAAGGCAAAGGAAAGAAAGGAAGAAAGCCACGCATGTCAGAGGCCAGCAGGTTGATGGGGAGGGAAGAGAGCTTGCACCTTTTAGATTCCAGGCAGTCCCCCCTCGATCCAGACCATCGGCCGGGGCCTCTCACACTCCTTCCTTCTCTTCCTCCCTCCCCATTACAGATGGCACCGACAAGACATCCACCATTTGAAAGAAGCTGGATCTGCTGGCGTTCCTGAGAAGCTTTAGGGTGGCTGTTTATTTTTCCCCCTTTTTTTGTTTGTTTGTTTGTTTGTTTCCTGGGGGAGGGGTGTTGCTGTGGGGGTGGGTGAATCACTTTTTCCCCCTGACACCTCATCTAGCATTCCCTAGCAGCTGGAGGGACAGGGGAGAAAGAGCTGTCATTACAATCTTACCATCTTATTGTGTTCTAATATTTTTCTACTTTTTATTATTATTATTATTATTGTTATTATTATTATTATAACTTCAGCTATTGGTTTAATATTTTGATGTACACGGCAGTTGGCAAGATTCTCCCACAAGTTTAACTTGCA